AAATCAATGAATCCAGGAGTTGGTTTTTTGAAAAGATCAACAAAATTGACAGACCACTAGCAAGACTAATAAAAAAGAAAAGAGAGAAGAATCAAATCGACGCAATTAAAAATGATAAAGGGGATATCACCACCGACCCCACAGAAATACAAACTACCATCAGAGAATACTATAAACACCTCTACGCAAATAAACTGGAAAATCTAGAAGAAATGGATAATTTCCTGGACACTTACACTCTTCCAAGACTAAACCAGGAAGAAGTTGAATCCCTGAATAGACCAATAGCAGGCTCTGAAATTGAGGCAATAATTAATAGCCTACCAACCAAAAAAAGTCCAGGACCAGATGGATTCACAGCTGAATTCTACCGGAGGTACAAGGAGGAGTTGGTACCATTCCTTCTGAAACTATTCCAATCAATAGAAAAAGAGGGAATCCTCCCTAACTCATTTTATGAGGCCAACATCATCCTGATACCAAAGCCCGGCAGAGACACAACAAAAAAAGAGAATTTTAGACCAATATCCCTGATGAACATCGATGCAAAAATCCTCAATAAAATACTGGCAAACCGGATTCAGCAACACATCAAAAAGCTTATCCACCATGATCAAGTGGGCTTCATCCCTGGGATGCAAGGCTGGTTCAACATTTGCAAATCAATAAACATAATCCAGCATATAAACAGAACCAAAGACAAGAACCACATGATTATCTCAATAGATGCAGAAAAGGCTTTTGACAAAATTCAACAGCCCTTCATGCTAAAAACGCTCAATAAATTCGGTATTGATGGAACGTACCTCAAAATAATAAGAGCTATTTATGACAAACCCACAACCAATATCATACTGAATGGGCAAAAACTGGAAAAATTCCCTTTGAAAACTGGCACAAGACAGGGATGCCCTCTCTCACCACTCCTATTCAACATAGTGTTGGAAGTTCTGGCTAGGGCAATTAGGCAAGAGAAAGAAATCAAGGGTATTCAGTTAGGAAAAGAAGAAGTCAAATTGTCCCTGTTTGCAGATGACATGATTGTATATTTAGAAAACCCCATTGTCTCAGCCCAAAATCTCCTTAAGCTGATAAGCAACTTCAGCAAAGTCTCAGGATACAAAATTAATGTGCAAAAATCACAAGCATTCTTATACACCAGTAACAGACAAACAGAGAGCCAAATCATGAATGAACTTCCATTCACAATTGCTTCAAAGAGAATCAAATACCTAGGAATCCAACTTACAAGGGATGTAAAGGACCTCTTCAAGGAGAACTACAAACCACTGCTCAGTGAAATAAAAGAGGACACAAACAAATGGAAGAACATACCATGCTCATGGATAGGAAGAATCAATATCGTGAAAATGGCCATACTGCCCAAGGTAATTTATAGATTCAATGCCATCCCCATCAAGCTACCAATGAGTTTCTTCACAGAATTGGAAAAAACTGCTTTAAAGTTCATATGGAACCAAAAAAGAGCCCGCATCTCCAAGACAATCCTAAGTCAAAAGAACAAAGCTGGAGGCATCACGCTACCTGACTTCAAACTATACTACAAGGCTACAGTAACCAAAACAGCATGGTACTGGTACCAAAATAGAGATATAGACCAATGGAACAGAACAGAGTCCTCAGAAATAATACCACACATCTACAGCCATTTGATCTTTGACAAACCTGAGAGAAACAAGAAATGGGGAAAGGATTCCCTATTTAATAAATGGTGCTGGGAAAATTGGCTAGCCATAAGTAGAAAGCTGAAACTGGATCCTTTCCTTACTCCTTATACGAAAATTAATTCAAGATGGATTAGAGACTTAAATGTTAGACCTAATACCATAAAAATCCTAGAGGAAAACCTAGGTAGTACCATTCAGGACATAGGCATGGGCAAAGACTTCATGTCTAAAACACCAAAAGCAACGGCAGCAAAAGCCAAAATTGACAAATGGGATCTCATTAAACTAAAGAGCTTCTGCACAGCAAAAGAAACTACCATCAGAGTGAACAGGCAACCTACAGAATGGGAGAAAATTTTTGCAATCTACTCATCTGACAAAGGGCTAATATCCAGAACCTACAAAGAACTCAAACAAATTTACAAGAAAAAAACAAACAACCCCATCAAAAAGTGGGCAAAGGATATGAACAGACATTTCTCAAAAGAGGACATTCATACAGCCAACAGACACATGAAAAAATGCTCATCATCACTGGCCATCAGAGAAATGCAAATCAAAACCACAATGAGATACCATCTCACACCAGTTAGAATGGCGATCATTAAAAAGTCAGGAAACAACAGGTGCTGGAAAGGATGTGGAGAAATAGGAACACTTTTACACTGTTGGTGGGATTGTAAACTAGTTCAACCATTATGGAAAACAGTATGGCGATTCCTCAAGGATCTAGAACTAGATGTACCATATGACCCAGCCATCCCATTACTGGGTATATACCCAAAGGATTATAAATTATGCTGCTATAAAGACACATGCACTCGTATGTTTATTGCAGCACTATTCACAATAGCAAAGACTTGGAATCAACCCAAATGTCCATCAGTGACAGATTGGATTAAGAAAATGTGGCACATATACACCATGGAATACTATGCAGCCATCAAAAAGGATGAGTTTGTGTCCTTTGTAGGGACATGGATGCAGCTGGAAACCATCATTCTTAGCAATCTATCACAAGAACAGAAAACCAAACACCGCATGTTCTCACTCATAGGTGGGAACTGAACAATGAGATCACTTGGACTCAGGAAGGGGAACATCACACACCGGGGCCTGTCATGGGGAGGGGGGAGGGGGGAGGGATTGCATTGGGAGTTATAACTGATGTAAATGACAAGTTGATGGGTGCAGCACACCAACATGGCACAAGTATACATATGTGACAAACCTGCACGTTATGCACATGTACCCTACAACTTAAAGTATAATAATAATAAATAAATTAAAAAAAAAAAATTAAAAACACAATAAGCTGTTACTTCACCCATGCTAAAATGGCTATTATCAATAAGACAAACAAGTGCTGGTGAGGACGTGGAAAAAAGAGAACCCTTGTACACTGTTCGTGGCAATGTAAATTAGGATAGCAGTAAATTAGGATAGAAAAACAGTATGGAGTTTCTTCAAAAAATTAAAAATAAATCAATGACCATATGATCCAGCCATCTCACTACTGGATATATTACCTCCCAAAAATGAAGTCAGTATGTCAGAGAGATACCTACACTACCATTATTCACAAGAGCCAAGATATGGAAGCAATCTAAGTGTCCATGAATAGATGCATGAAGAAAAAACTGTGGCATACATATGCAATGGAATACTATTCAGCCTTAAAAGTCAGGAAATCCTATCATTTGCAGCAACATGGATGGAACTGGAGGATTTTACACTACGTGAATACGCCAAGCACAGAAAGACAAATAGTAAATGATCTCACTAATAGATCAAATTTTTAAAAGTTAAACTTGTACAAACAGAGAGTAGAATGGTGGTTATGTGAGTTAGGTAGAGGGTATGGTAGGAGAGATGTTAGTCAAAAGCTACAAAATTTTAGTTAGATAAGAAAAAGTTAAAGAGATCTATTGTACAACATAGTGACCATATTAATAAAAATATTTTATATTCTTGAAAATTGCTAAGATAGATGTTAAGTTTTCATCACAAAATAATTGAGATAACACATATGTTAATTAAATCAGTGTAACCATTCCACAATGTACATGTATTTCAAAACAATATGTTGTACATGAAAAGTACATACAGTTTTGTCAATGAAGATTAAAGAAAAATAATTTATATGGCTCTCTCCTGTATTTATCATGTCCAGAAAACTGACTACAATGTATGGTTTATTGTGATTAATACTGTGACCAAATTTTATACATCCACATAGTGTAGTTATATATTTTATAACATATACTAATATGTAATACAACATGATACAACAAATATTAAAACATTAAGTTTTAAGTATGTTTAACAAATTTTTAAATCTCTAATATGTCAATTTACTAAAAACATCATTTGGGGCTGGGCACGGTGGCTCATGCCTTATCCCAGCACTTTGGGAGACTGAGGCAGGTGGCTCACCTGAGATCAGGAGTTCAAGATCAGCCTAATATGGTGAAACCCTGTCTCTACTAAAAATACAAAAATTAGCCAGGTGTGGTGGCAGGCGCATGTAATCCCAGCTACTAGGAAGGCTGAGGCAGGAGAATCACTTGAACCCAGGAAGTGGAGGTTGCAGTGGGCCAAAATCGTGCCACTGCACTCCAGCCTGGGTGACAAGAGCAAAACTCTGTCTCAAAAAACAAACAAACAAAAAAAACCATATCATTTGGAAACCAGTACAAGTAGAAATTTTCCATTCTCCAATAATTAGTACCACAAGTATATGAATCAGACAATAAATTACTGCTTACTACACTATTCTAACTTAGTATGACGCTAAATAATTATATAAATGTCAAAGGTATAATCTTTAGCCAAAGGTAAAATGTACTTTCTTGTTTTAAAAAGTTTATCACTCTTTTTTCTAGTGACCAGTTTAAAATGGTTTCTACATTAGGTAGTAATGAGTTTATGTAACATGTCTACTAGACACTAGTATTTTTGCTTCCATTTTGTTTAAAGAGCTTTCCAGCATTCTCAATATCATGATTGATACAGAGACAGATACTATGTACATGGCGCATTGGGAACACTGGGATAAACAAAGAGGTTCTTCCCAGACTCTGTAGATTTTGGCTTAAAGCAGCGTTCAGCAAACTTCTATGAGAATGAATCACGGTTAGAGTAAGCATTAGTTAAAATAAAACAGAGTTTATGTTCCTCATTAGTAACTGTTAACTTACAGATTACCAGAGTTACCAATATTAGCCCAAGTTAAAATGTTACTTTGAGACTATGAATGATACACATATATTTAACTTAATCATTCCAAAGCCTGCCCTCTTTCATTTTTACCTTGCAAAACTCCCCAAGGGTAGTGATGGTCTCTGACCATCCTTTCTGCAACTTTCACTTCATCCATACTCCCCACCACAGCAAAGGGTAACAGCATCTAGAGAACAAGAATGGTATCAATTGAATTCTCTAGCACCAATAGAGCTTACTCTATTACTCTCAATCCTGTTATAAAAATGACAGTGATGATGATATTGTAGTATATTTAATTAGGGATCTACCCTGCATCTCATTTTAAGACTTAACAATATGCACTAATTGGTTTCTGTCAGCTTCAGCCTCAGGCTGTGCACACAGTTGGACACTGTCTACTGAGCAGAGCCTAAAGCAAGGTATCCTGCTGTGGGAAACACAAAGTAAAAAGATTTTTAGTAGACATAATTTTTCTCCCACTATCTTTACCCTGAACCATCTTTACCCTGAATGTTGAAGAAATAACATACAAATAACTTTTAACTCTAGTATAAAGTCAAAAGACAAAAATATTAAAAATAACTACAACTATTAGAATAATTAATGGATACAATATAAAATGTATTAATAAGCAATACTGTATATATCTCAATAAATTACGTTTGTTTTTTTCACACAGAGTCTGGCTCTGTCACCCAGGCTGGAGTGCAGTGGTATCTGGTTGGCTCACTGCAACCTCCACCTTCCAGTTTTGAGCAATTCTCCTACCTCAGTCTCCCTAGTAGCTGGGATTACAGGCACCCGCCACCATGCCTGGCTAATTTTTGTATTGTTTAGTAGACACTGAGTTTCACCATGTTAGCCAGGCTGGTCTTGAACTCCTGACCTCAGGTGATCCACCCACGTCAGCCTCCCAAAGTGCTGGGATTACAGGCATGAGCCACCATGCCCAGCAAAAATAATTTTTTACATTTTACAGTACTTAGCATTTCAATTCAGAAATCTATTTACTGTTTGCAGTATCTTAAAATAAAGGAGGTATTTCACAAAAAAAATAAATAAAAGAGGTATAAATAATAAGAAAAGAGAAATGGAAGAAATGGAATTAACAGTTATCAGTTTAGATTCTGTGTTTCAGATCCTTCACAAAGATTTTGGCACTTACACCTCAAAAAAAAAAAAAAAAAAAAAAAAAAAAGCCTTAAAAGAAGTGTCGGCCGGGCGCGGTGGCTCAAGCCTGTAATCCCAGCACTTTGGGAGGCCGAGACGGGCGGATCACGAGGTCAGGAGATCGAGACCATCCTGGCTAACACAGTGAAACCCCGTCTCTACTAAAAAATACAAAAAACTAGCCGGGCGAGGTGGCGGGCGCCTGTAGTCCCAGCTACTCGGGAGGCTGAGGCAGGAGAATGGCGTAGACCCGGGAGGCGGAGCTTGCAGTGAGCTGAGATCCGGCCACTGCACTCCAGCCTGGGCGACAGAGCGAGACTCCGTCTCCAAAAAAAAAAGAAGTGTCATTGGTCCCATAGCATAGATAAGTTAACAGTCTCAGGGAAGATGAGTGAATTGTGCAGGATCTCTTGACTTTTAAGTAGAGAAGATAGGATGGAAATCTAAATCTACATACTTTCAAAATTTATCATCTTTCAGCCGGGCATGGTGGCTCATGCCTATAATCCCAGCGCTTTGACAGGCCGTGGTGGGCAGATCACCTGAGGCCAGGAGTTCAAGACCAGCCCTGTCAACATGGTGAAACCCCATCTCTATTAAAAACACAGAAATGAGTTGGGTGTGGTGATGGGCATGTATAATCCCAGCTACTCAGAAGGCTGAGGCAGGAGAATTGCTTGAATCCAGGAGGCAGAGCTTGCAGTGAGCTGAGATTGTGCCATTGCACTCTGGCCTGAACAACAAGAGCAAGACTCCATCTCAAAAAAAAAAAAAAAAAAAAAAAAATTATCACCTTTCAAAATTTAAGCTAATATTTTAGGTATTTACTACCACAAAAGGTTTATACAAATAAAGAGTTTAGTCATCTTTACTATTGCCCTGATTCTAAAACCAGAGACAACACAGCATTCCGCATCCAACCCCCATCTATTTGTTTTGAGGCAAGTGCATATGAGAGTTGGAGGCTCCCTTTTAACACTCAAGACCTACTTGTGAAATAGGGACCCTGCCTTAGATGCAGCAAACGGAGAAGATGGGGGCCCATCCTTGCCGAGTTCATGAGGCAGTGGCTCATTATGTGGGGAAGCAATCCAAAGAACCTCAGACTGCTGCTCCTCCACAATGAGCTCTCAGTTAGTTACCAGTGGGTGCCTGAAGTTTCAAGGTGGGGTGGGGGGGCTGGGTAACCTGTCATTGTTTCCACCCACAATTACAGAACACTGCCTCAGAGATTTTGCCTTGGAGGGGAAACAGGCCATGAAACGAGAAAACCCATCCAAAAATTTAAATGTTATCCCAAGGAACCTGAATAGCCAAAAAAATATTGAAAAGAAGGACCAAAGTTAGAGGTCTCACACTTCTAGAATTCAAAACATATTACAAAGCTACAGTAATCAAAATAGTTTGGAAGTAGCATAAAGACAGACATTTAGACCAATGGAATCAAATACAGAGCCCAGAGTTAATCCTCCCTTACCTATTCTTCTGTTGATAGACATTTGGGTTACTTCCAGCTCTCAGCTACTGTGAATAATAACACAATTTATATGGCTTTGCAAATATCTAAGACTCTGCTTTCAATTCTTTCAGATATATACCCAGAAACAGGATTGTGAGATCATATAGTAATTTTATTTTCAATTTTGGAGAAACCACCTGTATTAGTCTGTTTTCACACTGCTGATAAAGATATATCCGAGACTGAGAAGAAAAAGAGGTTTAACTGGACTTACACTTCCACATGGCTGGGGAGGCCTTAGAAGCATGGTGGGAGGTGAAAGGCACTTCTTACATGGCAGCAGCAAGAGAAAATTAGGAAGAAGCAAAAGCAGAAACCCTTGATTAATGCATCAGATCTTGTGAGACTTATTCACTATCACGAGAATAGCACGGGAAAGACCGGTCCCCATAATTCAATTACCTTCCCCTGGGTTCCTCCCAAAACATGAGGGAATTCTGGGTGATACAATTCAAGTTCAGATTTGGGTGGAGACACAGCCAAACCATTCCACCACCATATTGTTATTCGTAGCGGTTCTACATGAGAAAAACTATAAAACTCTATTGAAAAAAATCAGAGACAGGCTGGGCGTGGTGGCTCACGCCTGTAATCCCAGTCCTTTGGGAGGCCAAAAGGGGTAGATCACCTGAGGTCAGGAGTTCTAAACCAGCCTGGTCAACATGGCCAGCTGACATGGCCAACCCCATCTCTACCAAAAATACAAAAATCAAAAAATTTTTTAAAAAAGGAAGAAAAAGAAAGAAAAGAAAAGAAAAACTCAGGGACTATCTAAATAAATGGGGAGCCATTCCACGTACCTGGATAGAAAGACTCACTATTGTCAACACGTCACTTTTCTATAACTTAACCTATGGATTCACCACAATCCCAATCAAAATTTCACCAAATTATTTTGTGAATAATAAACTAACTCCAAAATTTATATGAAAAGGCAAAAGAACTAGAATAGCCAACACAATATTGAGGAAGAACCAAGTTGGAAGACATACTATTCAACCTCAGGATTTACTACAAATCCATAGTAATCAAAACAGCATGGCATAGGCAAAATGATAGACAAACAGATCAATAGAACAGAATAGAGAGCCCAGAAATATGCCTACACAAATATAGTCAATTGATATTTGACAAAGAAGTGATGGGAACTCAATGGAGAAAAGATATTCTTTTCAATAAATGGTGCTGGAACTGGGTATTTACATGCAAAAATAAGAATCTATAAATAGACCTTACATATTTCACAAAATTAACTCAAACCAGATCATTCCTAGAAGATAATGTAGAGTCCTAATTAGGGAAGGGGAGTCAGACTCGTGGGAGCAGGGGAAACCGAAAAAAAAGGGAAGCAGATAAGCTACAAGTCTGCCTTTCTTCATAATCTGGAACACACAGCCCTACTGCACAAACAACTCATAATCTTCCTGTGCCTGGCTACCAGCAGACCCTCGGTTGACACAAAAAATTGCAAGTTTGCCGGGCGCGGTGGCTCAAGCCTGTAATCCCAGCACTTTGGGAGGCCGAGACGGGCGGATCACGAGGTCAGGAGATCGAGACCATCCTGGCTAACACAATGAAACCCCGTCTCCACTAAAAATACAAAAAAATTAGCCGGGCGTGGTGGCAGCGCCTGTAGTCCCAGCTACTCGGGAGGCTGAGGCAGGAGAATGGCGGGAACCCGGGAGGCGGAGCTTGCAGTGAGCCGAGATCGCCACTGCACTCCAGCCTGGGCGACAGAGCGAGACTCCGCCTCAAAAAAAAAAAAAAAAAAAAAAAAAAAAAAAATTGCAAATTAGCTCACTGCACTGATAGTGGCAGGAGGCAGACAAATGCCTAGAAAGATAGGGCCAAGTCCCCAGGGAAATCCCACCTCCAAGCCAAGGACAATTTAAGGCCTAAAAGCCAAGCTACGAGTCAAATCCACGGACTGAACTGAGAAGCTGACTCCCTGCCTGGTGCTCTTTCCTCTGACTGATCCCCGCCCTTCACCTGGTTTACATACACCTACACTTCCTAATTGTTTTTTCACAATGCTGTGCCCACCTTTGGGTGGTGCCTTTGTTTTAACCTTTTTGCACATGCACAAACCAATCAGCATGCACTCCCCTGTTCTGAGCCCATAAAAGCCCTGGGCTTAGCCACACAAGGAGAGAAACTGCCCCCAGGTCCTCTCTCCACTGAAAGCTGTTCCATCACTCAATAAAATTCTCTCTACCTTCCTAATCCTTCAATTGTCAGGGCATCCTCATTCTTCTTGGATGTGAGAAAAGAGCTGGTGAACCCCCCATCTCAGGTAGAAGCTATAACACAGGCAGGCTGGAGCATGCTGGTCCAGCCGCAGGCTGAGTTGCTGTGCAAGCCAGACTGGGCCAAGTGGATGGGGAGCCTCCTGTGTGGCAGGTAGCGTGCCCAAGCAAGGCCCAGGTGGGGGTGTCACTGGCCAGAGGTCCTTGGCTGGCAAAATGACTAAAAATCTTGCATCACAACTTTGGCAT